AAAAAAAAAAAAAACAGTGAGTCTGCTTTTCCAGAGGACCTGAGTATGGTTTCCAGCACCCACATGGCAGCTCACCATTGTCTGTAACTCCAGTTCCAGGGATCTGATGCCCTCTTTTGATCTCTATGGGCATCGTACAAATGTGGTGTTCATACATACATGCAGGCAAAACCCTCATTCACATAAAAATTGTTCAACACACACTGAAAAAGAACCTATCAAAATTAAGTGTGGGACAGTAAAACAAAAACAAAAACAAAAAACAAAAAACAACACCCCACTACCTGGTCAACTGTGGCCTAGAGACCCAGGAAAAAGAAGACTGCATTGGGAATGGTAACTGCCTTCATCAGCACTACTGGGCAGCATGCACTAAAGAACTAGAGAGCCAGGCCTTCAGAGTGAGTGAGACTCCTGGGGTCCAGACTACCTGCGTCATCTTGAAAGGGTTAAGTTCTTTAGAAGCCAGGCTTCCTCCTCTGTAAGATGGAGAGGGTAGGGCAGTTCTAACAGTTCCCCAGGCAGATTAGAGGTGACCATTAATTCTTTGTCTCTTTCCCTTTCCGTGAATCAGGTCTCACTGTGTGACTGCTTCAACAATAGAAAATAACAACCATGCATTGTGTTAATTCTGGGCCCCCGCTTTAAGAAAGCTAGGAAGCTTCACAGCCAGGAGGCAGAGGCAGGAGGGTCACTGCAAGTTCAAGACCAACCTGGGCTCTATAGCAATACCCTGCCCCCCTCCCCCAAAAAAAAGAAGGAGAAGGAGGAGAAGAAGGAGAAGGAGAAGGAGAAAAAGAAGGAGGAGGAGGAGGAGAAGGAGAAGGAGAAGGAGAAGAAGAAGAAGAAGAAGAAGAAGAAGAAGAAGAAGAAGAAGAAAAAAGAAAAGAAAAGAAAAGAAAAGAAAAGAAAAGAAAAGAAAAGAAAAGAAAAGAAAAAGAAGAAAGAAAGGAAAAGAAGAAAGAAAACTTGGAAAGCTTCTGCTTTGGGTGAATCTTACGCGTCCCTGGGAACACTGAGACGCTAGACCAATCACATGACAAATTCTTGTGAAGGGGATAGGCCCTGCAGTTACAGGAAGAGGATGAAGTAAAGAGCCAGCCACCCCAGAATTCTAGTTAAACCTCCAGATTTAACTAGATTCCCGCCCCAGCCAACACCGCACCACGATTCAGGAGAGCACTACTAAGGGCAAGTGAGCCGAAGACGGAAGCAGTGAACTGGTGTGAACTGGTGTGTTAAGTTCTAATCCTGGAGGCAGTTTCCCCATAGATCACTGAACCGTCCTCCAACCTCAAGATCCAAAGTCAGCTGTTTTACAATTAATCTTTCTTTTTTTTTATATTGCAGGATTTAAAGCAGTGCATAGCCAGGCAGTGGTGGTACACACCTTTACTTCCAGCACTCAGAGGCAGAGGCAGGCAGATCTCTGTGAATTTGAGGCCAGCCTGGGCTACAGAGTGAGTTCCAGGGAAGGCACAAAGCTACACAGAGAAACCCTGTCTCGAAAAACCAAAAAATAAAAAACAAAACAAAACAAAACAAAACAAAAAACAGTGCATAAGCCACACAGCATATGATACCTTTAGCAGGGCCTCAGGCACAATCAAATACATTAACATTAATACAGCAAAATGTATTACATTTACATTGAGTGAGATAAATATGCATCCTAAATAGTCTTGTGATAGGTCTGCCAAATGAACCCTGATGCCAAACTTATAAAAGCCTTTTTAATCTTTGGATCATTTGTGGATAATGAAAACTGTGGACATGAATTTACACCAAAGGGTCGCTGTCAGGATTAAACAAAATACTGTAGATAAAAATCCTAAAGCAGTGCGCAGAGAGGAGGAGGGTGTTACCTGGTCATAGTCCTCGGGGCCGAAGGGGGCGTCCTGCTGCAGGATGTGGTGCAGCCGCGCCTTCACCCGGTGCTGGCAGCTGCTAAGAGAGTCGCTGTCGCTGTCCAGCAGCCCATTCATGTTGGCACTCTTCACCATTTGCACCAAAATGGGTGTGAGCTCCCCTTCTAGAGCCAGGAGGCCCTGGTAGGAAAGCACAAGGTCTACTGGCTTCCCTTCCAGGCAGACAGCCCCAGCCTACCCAGTCCCAGACCCGGGCCGGAGAGCGCGCCTGGAGGGCCGACTCCGACCATTCCCAGCTCCTTTTCAGCAGCATGAAATGGAGACGGGCACAAACTTCTCTGAAGTAGCGTACCAGCCCTTGAACACTTTCCACCTCGTCCTCCAAACTCTGTTTCTCCCCTGGTTTACCTTCGCAAAGGCGGCGGCAGTCATCTGGACGCGACCCTCGTCAGACGCGTAGATCTTGAGGTCGTGTCGGAAAGTGCTGTGGAGACGGAGCAGCCCACAGCCAGGGAAGCCCGCATAGTCACCTGGGGCAAAGGGCGATTCCAAGCACGGACTGTTACAAGCCACGTGGGGGACAAATATTAATTGTCCCTTTAGTATCCTCACAGCATCTTCCCCTTCAGTCCCCTCCCCTCCCCTTACTCACTATCTTACCCCAGTCTTGCTGGGTATTTCCTCTCCAGCACTTACCCTGGCCCCCGGGGTACATGCAGCGAAAGGCTCGCCCCAGCTCCTCGGCCTGCACACGGCCATCAGGAGTCAGCTCTCCGCCCCACTTCAGTACCAGCAAGAGAGATGGTGCCAGGGCTTCTCTCTGTGGATCTGAGGGAAGAGGGTGCAGTGGGTAGGGCCTTAGCCAAGGATTGTGATGGGAAAACCTCAACACCAGGGCTTCTGACAAGAACACGGGTCATTTCGTGTAGACACCACCCACAAGGTCAAGAAGAAGAGACCCGAAAGTTGGGCCTGGTGTCACATGCCTGTAATACTAGCTCTTGGAAAACTGAGGCAGAAGGATTGCTGGGAATTTGAGGTCAGCCTGGGTTACATAGCAAGACCCTATCTTAAAAAAAAAAAAAAGAGGCCCGTGAGACAGCTCAGCGGGTAAAGGCATTTGCCACCAAGGCTGAGCACTCAAGTTCCATCCCCAGGACTGACAACGGTGAAAAGGAGGGCCCCACCCCCACAGTTGTGCTCTGAGATCCACAACTGCTCTGCGGCTTGTGTGCCCCACACCCGCTAAATAAATAAAATATAATTTCAAAACTTCCAAAGAAGGAAAGGAGGAGGAGGAGGAGGAGGAGGAGAGAGAGCTGCTCACCTTGGCCCTCGTTCGAAGCCTTCACTCCGTGGGGGTAGTAAGTCAGCTGCACCTTCCGATTGATACCTGAGAAGTGACCATACCTGCGGGGACAGCGCGGGTTACCTTCTGCCCTGGGCCTCAGTTCCTGTCGGTAGCCCCCGCTGCTGTCCCCTTCCTCACTCACATCTCCAGCACGGACTTCAGCTGCTCCAGTTTTCCCGTCTTCTCCTCAATCTCAATGCCTGGTTCCTTCTCCAGTTCAGTCAGCAGCAGCCTCGTAATGTCCAGCACCTCCTGGAGAGACCACGGGGAACGGAGCGGTCCTTCCTTCTGTCCATCCCGCCTTTCCGTCTCAACCCCACACTGTCTCTCTTTCTCAGACGAGGGCTCCTGACCAGATCCCCCGCCTTACCTGGAGCTGCTCAGGTCGCTTAAGTTTTAATTTTCCCGTCTTGTATCCACCATGTTTTTCAAATAGAGCAAAAAACCTGAAGAAGTAAAAAGTAAGAAATCGAACAGAGCTCCTGGGAACCGGGTTCCACCCATCCTCCCTCATGAAGAACTGTCGTCCATTTGCACGAGGACAGTCCTCCTACCTCGGGTGCGTCACCTCCATCTTCATCTTCTGCTTTGGGGTGCGATCTCCGTGACGGATAATCGCGATGACACAGCGGAGCTCCATCCTAAGATTGGGAGTTTCCTCAGAGCCATTCTCCCAGCCCAAACTCAGCTCACCCCCACCCCCCCCACCCCCCCGCCGCCCCGTCACATTCTGGGCTAAAGGGACCGTAACTAGTAAAGGCCAGGGGCTACTAGCTAGACAGTATAGGGTCAGCGAAGGAATCCCAAACTGTATGCAGGTCACTTTGGATTTTTAACGTGTGCTTACATGGTGCCAGACGTGGTAGGGACAATGGGAATGTCCTCGGCTTCTGTGGGGATGGACCATGGTATCTGGAACTGTGGCGCAAGTTCCCGCATAATGGTGTTCCTAGGAGGCAAAACGTAATAAAGCTGAATGAAAATAAACTGTTTGACAGAAGGTCATACATATGTATACACAATCATGAAGCAAAAGAAAGCATTAATATAAAGCCTGAAATATCCAAATATATACCCTATTTAAAAAAAAATAAGAGGCCAATGAGATGGTTCAGCTGCTAAAGGCATTTGCCACCAAGCCTAACCATTTGGCAGAAACAAATCCATGGCAATGATAAGCCAGTTAAGGTTAATGTTCCCTCTGGGTGCGGGGAGAGGATGTAACCTCAGCACTATGCAGGGATTTCAACGACACTCTTTTTCTTTACCTTTGTCTTCAGACAGAATCTCATGGAGCCTAAACTGGCCTCCAGCCCACTAGGCTAGCCTTGAACTCTTGAACCTCCTAATCCCACCTCCCACAATCCGTGTTGGGATTTCAGACACAACCAGGCTTAACTCATATATTCTTTCACTTTTTTAAAAGTGCTATTTTACTCTATGAGCGTTTGGCCTGCATGTATGTGTACACGTGTGATCAGTGACCACAGAGGTCCGAAGAAGGCGATGATACCCTAGAACTGGAATTACGGATGGTTGTGAGCCACCATGTGGGTGCTGAGCCCAATGTGGGTGCTGGGAACCTAAGCCTGGTGCTCTGCTCCCAACTGCTGAGTCTTCTCTCTAGCCCTGCTTTTATTTTCTAACATGTGTGGGAAAAAATACTTTTTGTTTTTGGAGACAGAGTCTCACTATGTATCCCTGGCTGGGCTGGAACTCATGATTTAGAGCAGGCTGGCCTTGAACTCCAAGAGATCCTCCTACCTCTGCCTCTCAAGTGCTGGAATTATACGTGTGTGGTACCATATTCATCTTAATTTTTTAAATTAATTAACTAATTGATTAATTGTGTGTGTGATATATACGTGTGGGCATGTGTGTGTGTGTGATGTATGTATGTGTGTGTGTGTGTGTGTGTGTGTGTGTGTGTGTGATGTATATGTGTGGGCATGGGGGTATGTGTGTGATGTATGTCTGTGTGCGTGTATGTGTGTGTGTGATGTATATGTGTATGTGTGTGAGTGTGTGTGTGTGATGTGTATGTGTATGCCTGTGTGTGTGTGTGTGTGTGTGTGTGTGTGTATGTGTGTGTGATGTATATGTGTGGGCATGGGTGTGTCTGTGTGTGATGTGTATGTGTGGGCATGGGCATGTGACAGAGGACAACTTTTAGTAGTCAGCTCTCTCCAGCTTTCACCTGGGTCCCAGGGACTGTACTCAGGCCATCAGTGTTGCATGGCCAGCTCTTTTACCATCTGAACCACATCTCCAGCCCTCACATATTCTGTGTGAGGCAGTCTCACTCTGCAGCCCTGGCTGGTCTCGAACTCACAAAGAACTCTTGCCTCTGCCTCCCTGAGGTAGCAGAGGACCTTAAAGTTCTGTTTTGTATGTGGATGTGTGTGGGTGAGTGGGCGGGGTTATATTCACGTGGACAGGTGTACACACCAGTCTATGTGTGCCTGTGGAGGTCAGAAGTCAGAGTCAAGTGTCTTCCTTGACCACTCTCCACCTTATGCTTTCAGACGGGCTCTCGTTGGTGGAGCTGGAGCTCACGGATCGTCTAGACTGGCCGGCCAGTGAGCCCTCAGGGCCATCCTGCCTCTGTCTCCTTATGCTGGGACTACAGGCTACTCCTGCCTTTGACACAGGGCTGGGGTCCACTCCTGGGTCCTCATGCTCACACAGTAAGCACTTTACTGACTGAGCCGTGTTCTCAGCTTCCATTTAAATCCCTGATTCCTCTCCCCCACTCCCACCCCACCCCCTCCCCACTGCCCGCACCCCCACCCCCGCCTTCACCTCCCAGATGCTGGAATTCCAGTATGTACCAACACTGCTTTTACAAGGGACTGGGGCTTGAACCTGGGGCTTCAGGCAAGCATTCTACTACATCTTTTTTCAGACACAGTCTTGCTATATGGCATAGGCTTGCCTCAGACTTGAAACTCTCTTGTCTCAGTCTCTTGAACGTGGAATTATGTGTGTACCATCATACCTGGCCTTAATAGTATATTTTTGGTTTTTGTTTGGTTGGGTTTTTTTTGTTTATTTGTTTTCGAGACAGGGTTTCTCTGTGTAGCTTTGGTTGTGCTGGAACTCACTCTGTAGACCAGGCTGGCCTCAAACTCAGAGATCTGCCTGCCTCTGCCTCCAAGTACTGGGATTAAAGGTGTGTACCACCACCACCACCACCACCACCACCACCACCACCACCACCCCTCTGTAGCCTAAAAGGGCCTCAAACTTGTGGCAACCTTCCTATTGTGCTCATAGATGTGAACTATCATACCTAACATTTGTTTTTTTGTTTTGTGAGACAGGGTCTCTCTACATAGCCCTGGCTGTCCTGGAACTCACAGAAATTCACCTGCCTCTGCCACCCAAGTGCTGGGATTAAAGGAGTGCACCACCACATCCAGCCCAACTCTTAATAATGTGGGGGGTTTTTTTCCATTAATTATTGTGTGCATAAGTGTGCATGATGTGTTTGTGGGTATATATGTGTGTGGAGGTCAGAAGACAAATTAGTGGGGTTGGTTCTCTTTTCCCACCTTTCCATAGGTTCCAGGGATCAAATCCACATAGCTAGGTTTGTGGGACACATGCACACACTTTATCCTCTGAGTCATCTTGCTGGCCCTCAACAATGTTTTGCTTGTTTGTTTTTGAGACAGGTCTCTCACTATGTAGCTCTGACTGGCCTGGAATTCACAGAGATCCATTTGCCTCTGGCTCCTGAGTGCTGGGATTAAGAGTATGTACCACCACATCTGGCCTAATGGTGTACTTCTTAAGATAGACAGCGCTTGGCTAGAATTACCATATCCATGGATGCTCACTATATTCATCATTCCTTAGGTTTTTTTCAATGGTTCACGTATTACATGCTATTTTAAAAGCAAAATCATACTACTATCACATTCAGTAAACCACAATTATTTACACATGGGAGAGAAAGACAATCTGTTATGGCTGTAACTGTTAACAGCAATCATCTCTGAGGAACGCAGTACTGAGGCAGCGGGGGGCTGAGTAGTCCCTTCTCCTTTTCCATTTTTGACTTCTGAATCATTTTTAAAATAGTTAAAATAAAGAAAAGCTTTATTGATTTGTTTGTTTGTTTATTTATTTATCTGTACGGCCTCATGTATCCCAGGATAGTCTCAAACTGCTTCCACCTCCCAAGTGCTAGGGTAACAGGCACAGATCATCACACCCAGGCTATGAAGAGAAAGCTCCTGAGCCCTCTTCCCAGTACCCCAGCCCACTATGTCTCTTACCCCAGAATCTTGGCACAATCATCATAATATTTCATCGAGTTCTTGACAAAGCTAAAGCCATTGACGTCGCACACAAAGGAGTGACCGTTGGCACGAAGAAGGTCGAATCCACAAACTGTTTGCTGCAGAAAGGCAAGGTGACTCAGAGACGGCTCCCAACCCCTGCCCCTGCTTCTTGCCCTCATCCCACAGCCCCATGGGCCCACTCTACCTTAAAAGCCACGCAGACCTTCCTGGCCACCAGCTTTTCCATGGCCGTCAACATGACTGGATAGCGAATCTCTTTCCCCTCACTGTCTCGTTCCACCTTCCCATCCAAAGCTGGAGACTTTCTCGCTTCAGCATGGGCATAATCTGGCCCCACTGTATACACCTGCAGGTACATAGCATCACTGAGCATGCCCACAGCTCACCCTGCATGTGAGAAGACAATATGAGCACTAGGTCTGTAGACTATTCCAGAATAAAAAACAAAACTCTGCACAGCCAAGAGTGGTGGCACCCGCCTTTAATCCCAGCACTCAGGAGGCAGAGGCGGGACATCACGAGTTCAGTGACAACCTGGTCTACACAGCAAGTCCTAGGTCAGCCAGAGCTACATAGTGAGACCCTGTCTTAAAACAAAGACAAGACAAACGGGAAAACCCTCCGAACATTATGAACACAGAGACTGGGGTCCTGAGATGGCTCAGCAGGTAAAGATGTTGGCTGACAAGCCTGATCATCAGGATTCACATGGATGAAGGAGAGAAGTGACTCCCAAAGTTGTCCTCTGACTCCATGTGCATACTATGGTGCACACACACACACACACACACACACACACACACACACACACACACACAAATAAATAAATGTAATAAGACAACTTTTAAAACAGAATACAGAGACTGATATTTTTGGTACCAAGCCTTATTCCAGTGATATTACAAAGGTTTCTCCTTAGAACTCTGGCACTATTGTCTAGTCCTTATTAGATAATAATTTACCAATGTTTTACAATTTACTGTGGTACCTTGCTCTTGCTCTGATAGTGAAAATGAGAACATCTACATCTCATGTGTTATCTTCACTTGAATGTGAAAGCCAGTTGAACTCATGCTTTATTCTCTAAGATCCTATCCACACATACTACCACTTGCTTCCCAAGCACCTCAATCCCACCCAGATGTTTATAACATTTTAAAATCTCTGTATCCACCATAACCTTAACATCTGTGCCATCTGTTGGCATGAACTCCTCATAGATGTATGACCCTGTCTTCCGGACGCTGCTCTCGGGGGAGTAGACACTGCTCCGGCTGCCAATCTTTAGGAGGAAAGAGAAGGGGAGCGACACTGCCTCAGTCTCCAGGCTCTGGCCACAGATCCCCTCTCCATTCCCAACAACCTCACTCTGTCCTTCTGCTCTCTCATTTCCCAGATGCTCAGAGGTCTCCCGTACCTTCCGGAAGAGGCGCTGGCTTCCTCCCCCGGCAGAGCTGGGGTAGTAGATGTAAACATTGTGGTCCTCTGCACTCACTGGCTTCTCCACAAAGGGCTTGGGGAAGACAGCTCCGTTGACCTCCACCTGGTCTTCTCCTTCTATCAGGTTGCACTCTGAAGATGGGCGTGTGATCGTTCTCAGGGACTAAGGTTGGAGAGTATTTCCAACTCCTCTTTCCCTGGGGTTTTAATCTATACAGCCTTTCAAATTTTATGACCCTGTCCTATAACAGATATGGCAATGCTCACATATGGCATTTAGATATGATAATATCTATATAAAAGTTCAAAGGCTCTACCTAAAGACCCACGACTCTTACAACCCACGACTAATACAACAGTCAAAGGCCCACGCAGATCTGTAGAGAGGAGATGTTTATGGGAGAGACACTGGGCTAAAACATGGAAATCAAGGCAGGGAATGACCAGACACAGCCAGTTACTTACCCTCAGGACAGGCGGGGTCACGGTTGAGTACAGCGTATCTCGGCAGATCGATACCTTCCTCCTGCAGGATCCGGTACACCTCCCTCCTGTCTCCCCAAAATAAATCAGTCAAGTACAGAAGGTGGGGGTGACAAAGGGGAGAAGCACAGGGAACCGTAACTCAATACAACATGGTATAAAAATGAAACATGCTTGTTTGACTCTGTCCATTCCAGAGTAGGCCTCCTAAAATGGGGCATTTTAGGCTCGCCCACCCCTCTGGTCCATAGGAGGCTATACCTATCTTGGATGTAATACTGCATGGCCAGATCATTGATAAGGAAGGGGTTTCGAAGCTTGGAGTAAGCAACAGCTTTGTCCAGAGGAAAGCCTGTGATGGAGAAAGAAATGGAGAGACCAGAGAAAGTGAAAGAGGCAGCGTGAGAAAAGCAGGACAGACCGTGACCCGTTAGAGCTGGCGGCTGCCACAGCGCTGCTCGACACACCTAACCCAGCACTCATCTGCCCAGCCCCTCGAGCCCAGGATATTCATCAGGAAAATCAACACAACTACATGGAGGATCCTCCCAGAGATCCAATTCTATAGGAGAACATAAGTGCCCTTGAGTTGTCTTGTGTGGCTGGGATATGGGCTTTGACCTACACCCGGCAAACCCTGAAAAGGAAGGCAGACTCCCCTTCCCTGATCTCTTGTGTGGTGAGAAGCCTCTTCCTTACTAATGGGATAAGAAGAAGTCCATCCCCAAACCAGCATCCCCATGGCCATCCTTCCCCACCCCCTCCCTAACCTTTGGAGTGGAAGGAGATGAGACAGTGGCAGGATGGCCAGTTCTCCACGGGTTCGTTGAGGATGACATCTTCTCCCAGGATGACAACAGTCAGGTAGTCAAACCTGCAGAGTCGCTCTAGGATTTGGGTCATCGGCTTGGACTTAGATTTCTTGGTCATGGCACAGATGCCAACAATAATTTGAGGTTCAGGAGGCTACAGAAAAGACGGGCAATCAGGAACTCCAGATTCCCACATATATCACCTCCAACATCTTTCTAAGGCAGTGTCTTGTCAGGACTTTGGACCTAAGGGATAAAGGATGCCTAACACAGAAGAGAGCCTGGTGGAAAAGTGCTTCTCGAAAAAGAAGCCGTGACCATCAGACCACAGGAGGAGGACAGCTGAGCAGGGGCTTCAGAGAGGCAACTGACCAGTCTCTACTGCCCGCTCCCTAGTCAGGATAGAGCCCGTTGACCACAGCGAGTCTGTGCTTGCAAAGAACAGAGGTGTCTCCATCCATGGACTGTCAACTCTCCAGGGCGAGGGCCCCAACCCCGAGCTCTGTCCCTGTCCCTGGACTTACCACTTCATCCTCCTCGTCCTCAAGGAGCTCACTGTCACTCTCTTCCATCCTCATGCCTATTCCACAGGCGCCCAAGCCCTCATCTCCGGCTCCGAGGAAGAAGTGGGCCGTAGTAGCACTCGCGTCCTCATTGGCCGTCAGTGACCACATCCCCGCCGGCACGCCCACTCATCCCGCTCTGCAGAAGTGGGCACCCCATCAGCTCAGAATCCAGCACCCTTACAGTGGGTAGGGGATGGGGTACAGGGAACTAGACAATGAGAGGGAACTACAAGGCTACAAGAGGAAACAGAAACAAAGCTATGGAAAGAACCAACAAGAAAGGAAACTGTACTACGAGGTGGCATGCCTAAAGAGAACTAAGAGCAAAGCAAGGACTCTCTTTCTTCCCGGTTTCCCCCACCCCGGCCAAGAACTGGTAAGAGGATCAGGAGATTAAGCCTTACAGTGCTGGCATGTCCCTGATTCTGCCAGCAGGAAACAATGTTAACTCCAGGCCGCAAACAGAAGAGGCAGTTCTTCAAGGAAGGCTACTGTCGATTCCTACCAAGAGAAGGTCAGAGTGACGTTTATTCCAAACTCTGGATTCATTCCACATCGTTCCCAGCTCTCTCCACCTTCCCACGGCACTGCTAGAGTTGAGGGCAGAGGCATGCTACAACTCCAAAGCTCTGCCTTTAAACTCCACCCTCATTACTACCTGTATTAGCTCAGGAAACATGTGTCGAGGACACCCTCCACTCTAAGCATGGTCTAGGGACGTTACTGTCTCCTTCACCCACCACCTTATAAAACAGATATCCAAATCCAGAGAATCAGTTCAAAGAAAGAAGTCTGGTGCTGGTTGGGGGGCTGAGACTGTAAACATTCACACAGCAGTCTTCAATCCATTCTCAAACTGCAATCCTAGTGATCCATCCACTGTCCTCTAGTACTACGAGACCAATGCTGGTCTAAGACAAGATCCTTTATAGCAGCAGCTACACTGGAAAAAAATCCTAACTAAGGCCATATTGGTAAGATTACCTTATGAACTTGGATCAGAACAAGCTGGCAGTTCCACTTCTGTGTGCACATGCCTAGAGTTTTAGCAGAAACTGTAGTGATTTTGCTGTACCAGAGAGAGATCTGTCAGGGGACATGCCTGGTTACTACAATTTGGAAAGGTGCTATACTAGTTTCTAGTGAGCAGACGTCAGGAATGCCGTGAGAAATTCTAAGATGTATATGCTATCTCAAGATCTACTCAGTCCTAACTGTTAGCAGCACTGAGGTAGATAGATGGCTATGGCAAGACTCTCACACACTCGTGAACACACACAAAGACATTCTTCCCTTCTCTAGCTCATTGTTGCCTAGGGAAAAACTAAGAACAATTCAGATGCCATAAGAAGAATGGTAAACTATGATGCCGTAATATAGAAAAGAAAAACAAAACACCAGATTTTAAAGATGAATGAGGGCCAGCAAGATGGTTCGAATGGAGGCCTTTGGTGCCAAGCCTAACAGTCTTGAACCCTAGGGCCTATCTGGAGGAGGGAGAGGACTGACTTCCACAGGTTATCCTCTGACCTCCACATGTGCTACAGGTCCATAAACATACACACTAAACATGTAAGTTCTATACAATAGTTTCCAACCACAAAATGTCAAGGTAAACACAGAGCACAATCTATTTGCATAAATAAACATCACGAGCTACTTTGATTGCACATGCAATTAGTACAAGTTTGTTGTTGGTTTGTTATTCTTGTTGTTTTTAAGCATGACTTTTATATGTATGGGTGTTCTACCTGGAGGTATCTCTGTACACATTTATGCTGGGAACAGAACCCAGGTCCTCTGAAAGAACAACCAGGGATCTTATTCACTAAGCCACCTTTCCAGGCCCCAGTTAATAGACTGAATCTGGGTGTGGTGGTGCATGCCTTCAATACCTGAACTTGGGAGGTAAAAGCAGGGAGATCTCTGTGAATTCAGGGCTATCCTGGTCTATATTGTGAGTTCCAGGCCAGCCAGGACTACACAGTGAGACCTGTCCCCAAAACAAAACAAAATACATAATTTTAAAAATGGACTGAAAAGACACCAAATCTGTAACAGTAGTTACATTCGAAGAAAAAAAGAGAATGATGTTAAGTTTCCAATGATGCCTATACAAACTTGCCTATAAATAAATGTCTATTTTCAAAACTCAAAAAGATTGAAAGCTAAAACAAGCAAGGCTAATATTTGCTAATAATGAATTGTAAGGGTATGAGCAACTATTGCTATTTTCCAAAAATAAAATGGAGTCACTCAACAGAAATTTTCCATGTTCGATAGTTCTCAGAAACACTGTCAACCCTAATGAAGCCAAGAACTCCTTGAGTAAATTAGTTAACTTACTCTTACAGAGTTTTAAAGTCTTCAATAATTCCGCTCTCTATTTTAACTTAAAAATCTTCCATTACAACCAGGGTTGCAGCTTTGATTAGAAAATTATAGATGACCTTTACATAGACCTTAGCCGCCTCAGTCTTGATCATCTGATGCCTCGATTGCTCAACCACAAGACAGAACATTCTTCTCCTTGACGTCTCCAGTTATACACTGCAGTTTGCACACCCGCATGCCTCCTGACCGACAGACCATTCCTTTGCATTCCCTTTTAGTGACCTAACCGTGGCGTTCCCAAAGATATCTCACAACTTCCCCAGTTAGAGCTTCATCACACTCTTTGTGCTCTCCCTGTGTCGAGGATTCCTTCACCGGCTGCCCTTTCCTGAAGCCTTCCCTGCCTTTTTTTTTTTTTTTTTTTTTAACACCATCCAGCCATGTTCTTGAAATTCTACTACAGCCCTGGGATGGGAGAAAATAGGATGGAGACGGCTGCTCACAAACACGGACTGAAAGGAGATGAGGCTCCAGATTCATAGTTAACAAAGCAAACATAGAAAGAAGCCTGGCGGGGACAGCCAGGACACAGCCAAGGGCTTATTTGGATGTACTTCTGGGAGAAGCTGGGGTTCTAATGTGGTGTTTCCAAAACGTCGCTCCTGTTCTCTGTGCTCTTTCCCCTTCTTCTTCTCCCCAAACTTTGTTGCCTAAGAAAACGGCAGATTCTGCACCGGGGCAAAGGGCAGGCTGACTATGGAAGGGAGGGAGGGAAGGGGTGGAGGGAAGAAGGAGACCATCTAGGGGGCACCTGTGCTAAATCAGATCTGGAGACCGGTTAGAGCAACCGTGGGCTGGAACTTCTTTAGCTCTTAGAGCTGAGGGCAGTTGGCATGGACCTCCAATTTCTTGTCATCACCTTGCATTTGATTAGAGGCTCCAACAACAGCAAAGGAAACCAACACACACCACCACCACCACTGAATTTTCCCACCTTCAAAAGTGAGCCCCGCCCCCCCCCACCTCCCGTTGTTTTGAGGCAGTGTCTCCCCGCGTAGCTCAGGCTGGCCTCAAACTCATTGTAATCCTCCTCTCTCAGTCTCCCAAGTGTTGGGATTACAGGCCAGAGCGGCTCTGCCTGCTTCCCACTTCCTTCCTAAGGCAAGTTTCATGTTTCCGACATATTCCTTATTCTGACACCAGTCAACCATCTGCTGCCTGTTCTCAGTCAGCTCACTCCTGATGCCTCCTCTCCCCAATCTGTGATAGTGGCTCTTCACTGTCTCCCCTCTACTCCCCACACTGCCTGCTGCACCCCAATCACTGATCAATTAATGCAACGAATCCAGCCAATTCTCCCACTCAGTGACTCCCAGAAGTAAACAACATTTCAGACCTGCACATGAGTCACCGCGCTTGCTAACACTTTTTCTTTTTCTTTTTCTTTTTTTTTGGAGACAGACTCTATGTAGTCAAGGATAGCCTTGAACTCAGGACCCGCCTGCCTCAGCCTCCAGGGTACATGGGTAGCATCTTTCCGATAATGATGAACACTTAATGACCCCCCTTCAACGAGGATCCCCTATAACGAGAGGTTCCTTCCTCACACTAGCCCCGCTGGAGGTTCACCTCTCCGCAGTAACCGGTTCCTCAGCAGACCCCCTCCCCTGGCCAGCCAGTCCCTTTCCCGACTCCGCCAGCACCCAGCGCCCTCCGGTCCTCCCTTCCCTCGGCTTCTCGCGCACGACCCTCTACCTCGGTGCCCTCCCCTGAAACCCAGCCCCGCCCCTCCTCCCAGAGTCCCCAGCCCTGTCCCTGGAAGCCTTCCATCTTCCCGGGGGCGGGGGGGGGGTCCCCTTATTCCTCCCGCAGACCCCTCCACTCCAATCTCTTCTCCCACTGACCCGCTCGGCCGTCCTCTCTCTCGGCGTCGGGTCACGAATCCCGCCCTCCCATCCTGGCTGCACTCGCCTCTGCCCGCCCCCGCCGTCCCCGCCTCGCTCCCCCTACGCTGACATTGAGGCCTCCCCGCTGCGCCTCCCTCCGAAGCGGTTCCCACCCGGGACGACCCACGGCCCCGGGGCGCAGGGAGAGCCCCTCGCCGAGCCCACCCTCCCGGATACCGCCCCCAGCCCCAGCCACTCCCCCACCGCCCCCGGCCCGCACTCACCCGCCTCCCTCCGCTCGCGCAGCCGAACCTGCCGGCAGCGACACCTGACAGCGGCCCAATCAAAGCGCGACTTCTTTGCGGTCCCGCCAATCCGCGCAGGGCGCGCACCGGCAACAGTCAGGCTGCGTTGGCCGGAGCTTCGGAGTGGAGGAGGGTGGCTCCTAGTGGCTGCCTCGGGAAGGGCAACCTGATGCTCCTCTGCCTCTTGATTTCCTACTGCGTCGCCAGCCCACAGCCTAGACGGAGAGGCTAACACCTTCCAATGGAAGGAAAAAATGAGATGCACGAAGAAGAGGCAAAGCTTGTGACATTGCACCTCCCTGAGGGCAAAAACCGAGTCTTGTTTTTTTTTTTTTCCTCTGTAAAGCAAATCCAGATGTGATATAGGTAGACATAAGGCCAGAAGGCGGAAAGGGAAGAGGTAGGGACGCGGGAGACAAACAGAAGCAGATGGGTAAAGTTAAAAGGAGGAACAAAGAGACTGATTTATGAAAGATGCAAGAAAACGGTGGACGTGGAAAACTGAGCAAACTGATTACTGTCTCCACACTCTGTTTCTTCTCTGGTCTCCAGCCTTGGAATCTGAAAAGCTGGATTTGAATCTTGCTCTTGACTGTGTAGCTTTGGGAAAGTCACTTTACCTCCTGGAGCCTCGACTGTGCTTATTTGTAAGGATGGAACTAAACACCAGACTTACACGGTGCTGCTGCGCGTGACAAAATACTTAAGAAAAGCAGTCCGTGGGGAAAGAGATTGATTTTGGCTCAGGGGCTCAGAAGTTTTGATCCTTAGCTCCATTGCTTTGGCCAGGAGGAGAGGCAGAACGCAATGGTGGCTGGGTAAAGGGTATTTGCTTTTTGGCTCGTAAAAAGCAGAGTGGGAGGAAGGGGCAGAGGGCAAGACGCATTGTCCAAGGTATGCCACAGGGACATACTTTCTCCAACGCGGCCCTACATCCTCTCTTTCACCATGTTCCAGTAATGTCATCACATTATGAATCCATTGATTAGATCGAAGCTCTCAGAATCCAATCACTTCCCAAAAGTCCATCAGCTGGACTCCAGTACAGGAGCCTGTAAAGGGCATTTCATATTTAAACAGAGCAGATATGCTCATATGAAAGCATTTTCTTGTATATATATTAGTGCTGTGCTTGAGTCTTCTTCTTTTAGGCTTCCCTGGTCAGGAGTTTGAAATTCTCCATTTGTTCTCTGTAACTTTAGGGACCTCACAGTTTTCCTAGTTAGATGCCTTAGCTTACTGACCACCACTAACACCCAAGGCCTCTTAAATGGATAAAGATGATTCTAAGGACAGAATCTACAAATAATCAACGATGGTTAATGCTCAGACTCATCCCTCCTCTACAATTCCATCCACTAGAACAAGTAATTACACCATCTCCCAAGTGTAAAACTTCTCCAATGATTCCACTGAAAATAGACTCTCTGATCCTGGTCATATGTTAGAATGATCTAATTCTCAATGAAAAAATATACATATATAAAGGTTCCTTGTAATTGCAGGGGTTTTGTGGGGTTGTGTGTGTGTTTTGTTTGTTTGTTTGGTTGGTTTTTGAGACAGGGTTTCTCTGTGTAGTCCTGTCTATCCTGGAACTCATTCTGTAGACCAGGCTGGCCTCGAACTCATGGAGATCCGCTTGCCTCTGCCTTCCTAGTGCTGGGATTAAAGGCGTGTGCCACTACCGCCCAGCGGGTTCCTTGTAATTGTAAAGTGCTTTAAAGCATTAAATATTAGCAATAATAATTACTAAATAAATAAAGTACTATAGATAAATATAGAGATATAGATAGACAACTTCCCATATGCAAGAGAATAATTTTCTGCATGTGTGTGGGTGTTTTGCCTGCATGTTTGTGTACCATGTGTATACCTGGTGCCCGAAGAACAGAAGAGAGCGTCAGATCCCCTGCAACTGGAGTTATAGACAGTTGTCAGCCACCATGTGGTTGCTGGGAATTGAACTAAGTCCTCAGAAAGAGCAGCCACTGAGCCATCTCTCCAGTCCCATGAGGTAATTTTTTAAAAATGACCAACAACACATCACATGCCTGTCAGAGGCTCACGAAGAATAAGAAAAGTACACAAATATATGAATCTTCTCAACAGAGTTGTTATTTCATGTAGGAAGGCATTTTCCAAACTTGAATAACTTCTCTACTCTAGCTGGCTTTATTCTCTTCTGTTATTCTCTCTTTCCCACCCCCATCTCCTGAACACCTTCTCAGCCAAATAACAGCCCCATTGCTCTGTGAGATTATCTCCTCCTTTTATCTGGGTAAATACACACCATCCCAAGTAATTACATTTACTTACTCATAACTACTCCTTCACCTAGATAATGAACACCCACAGCGTAGGTAACATTTTTTTGTCTCCAAAAGTGAGCAAGCTCCAACAGCAGATTCCAATCTATTCTCTGAGAATTGATTTTATCAAGAGAAGGGGGTTAAGTAATGGACCAAAAAAATGTATAGTTTCTAAGGATACCCACAAATAAGGAAGGTAAAAAAGTAGCCATGGGGGAGGGAGGCTTGAGGGTAATAAGGGAATGTGTATTAGTGAGGCCAGTGGGGGTTGTGAAGGGCAATTCTTCTTTCCAAACATTCTTAAGATTTCCAAATAGCTTACTGTCTTCTGGAACATCAGGAAGCTTAAGGAAGCCATATTAATGTCAATATGTCTGCTCTGCCTTGGCTGGCCCCCCACACCGAAGCCTCGGATCCCTATCTCAACTCCAGTTTTCACTCTCTTTCCTGCTATAATAAAAGTCAAGTTGCACCTAGTCCTGCTTGTAGCTGTGGAAACAAACCCTCTTGAGTCCGAATGTCCGAATGTGCACTTCAGAAGAGAGAGAGAGGACCAGGAAGAAGGCCGAGATTCCCTGATAACCTTATGCCCTTGGACACTGCCAGCCTTTACACCCCAGATTAAACTGTGTTAGAGAAGCCAAGAGAGAAGCACACGCGGTTCGGGAGACCTGTGCCTGCCTGTTCCATTCCACACCCAATCATCTCACCACGCCCTTCTCCTCTCTTTATATTCCCCTCCAGTCCAGGAACTGCCAGCTGCAGAGAAGGGAGAGAAGGAAGAAGAAACGCAACCGTTCCCTGCCCAGCCCCAGCCCCACACCCAGGGCAATCAACAGGTAGGCAAGCTCCAGACACTATTCAGGAGTCCTGTGAACAGCAGACAGGTTTGAGCCTGGGATTGAGGAAGAAACATGAAAGATCAAAGGTGAAGTAGGGGATCGGGTAGAGGAAGGGGGGGGGGAAAAAGCAGGGCCCCATGAGAAATGGAGGCAGGAAACAGTCAAGCTGAAGACTTGGGGACAGTGTGGGGGGGAGACAGTACAGATGGAATAAGAGGTAATAGTTCCCAGATTCTTCCCAAGTAATCCTTTCTCAACCTTGTTAGGAGAGGATAGGTGTAGCAGGGAGTTCCCTGGTCCTCTTCCTGGTTCTTAGGGAAAGGTGACCTTGGGAGGCAGGCAGCGGGTGTCTCTTCCCCTGCGCCCTCTCAGCCTTCCTTTGGTATCTGTTTATTCTGTGGTTTTCCTGAGGCTGCCTCTCCTGGGTAAAATGGAGAGATTGTGTGCAGATCGAATTCAGAGAAGAGGCTGGGCAATGTCAACCCCCTCCCCCCAATACCCACAAAATAGACGGATTGGGTTTCAGATTAAACAGAGGGGCCATGGGAGAAGGGGGTTTCGGGCTTCGGGAATCCCCGTGGTGCTGTCCTCTACTTGGTGCTGAAATCTGACTACCCTCATTCTCGGTGGGCCTCTGTCCCCAGCCTCAGCGAGTGAGTCTCCGGCC